AAAAAAAAAAAAAGAGAGTTGGAGGAAAACGCTCGTGAGACGAGGTAGAAGAAGATGTTGTCGTCAACAGAGACGTAGGAATGTGTGTATAAAGACCCCATCGGCGCAGCGCTGTCGAAACGAGAAAAGAACAAATGCATCTTGCACAGAAAGCGGTAAAATTCATCCGCCGCTATTCATAGTAACGGATGCATCTTGCCATTCTCTGCAGGAAGATGCACTCGTACTTCAATGTTTTCTCTTTTTTTCATTTCGTCACTGTTGTGCCGTGGCACTTAAGGCGATCTAGAGTAGGATGGGGATAATGTAGAACAAGTAGAAAAACGAGAAGACTTCCTTCTTTTTTCTTTTTTCTTTTTTCTTTCTTTTTTTTTTCTTTTTTTCTTTTCTTTTCTTCTTTTTTCATTTTTCAACGCCGCAAATCTTGCCTCAGATTCTGGAATATACTATAACAGTTCAATCAACAACAAAAATACGTCCTCCTCCGTGTTTTTTCTTCTTTTTTTTTTTGCGCAATAAAAAAAACACATCCTCCTCCGTGTTGATTGTGAGGTATTCCTTTTTCCTTGAGCCAACACGATAGCACAAATGGCGAGCTACCATGTTGGATCGAACAGGAAAAAGAAATACCTCCCTCCGTATTGATAGCATTCCTGTTTCCTCTTTACTCTTTCCTTGATGATGGCCATTATGGCGTCGAGGTGGCCCACCGAAACAGGTCCGCAGAATCGCCAGTCTTGTTTCCTGTGCCTTTTTTTTTTTTTTCAGAAATACTGTGTATATTTCGATGCGAGGTCATTCGCCAGTCTTGTTTCCTGTGCCTTTTTTTTTTTTTTTAGAAATACTGTGTATATTTCGATGCGAGGTCATTTGCGCAATTGTGGAGTCGCGATTCTCTCTCTACTTCTTCTCTTCCTCTTCTTCTTCCTCTACTCACTCCCTCTTCTTCTTCCTCTACTCACTCCCTCTTCTTCTTCCTCTACTCACTCCCTCTTCTTCCTCCTCTCTCCTCTTCTCAGTCGGTCTTTTGCGCCCCCTCTTCTAAGTCTTCCGCCTCCTTCCCCCTCTTCTGAGTCAGCCTCCTCCCCCCTCTTCTGAGTCTTCCGCCTCCTCGCCCCTCTTCTGAGTCTTCCGCCTCCTCCCCCCTCTTCTGAGTCTTCCGCCTCCTCCCCCCTCTTCTGAGTCTTCCTTTTGGGATGTCGATGCTCTCGTTTCATCAACG